CGCTCCACCAAGAGGCGCGGGCGCGCCATTAGGTGGAGTGGGCGCTCCTATATCGGGAGCGGGCGCTTCCCATCAGAAATGCGAAATTTCCACAGGAAGTCAGAAGGGGGCGCGGTTTAGGCGCGACCAGAAGCACGGGCGCGCCACTAGGACGCGCGGGCGCGCCTCCAGACGCGCGGGCGCGCCTCCAGACGCGCGGCCGCGCCAACTCTGTACTTCCAAAGATCCAAAATCCAGTGAGGTCCGCGGTTAAGGCATGACCTCAGCGCGGCCGCGCGTACCTAGCGCGGGCGCAACTCATGGTTCGCGAGCGCGCAACCATTAACACTCTAAATATTCCAACAGTTTTGGGGCTGGGTGAGGGTGTTTGTTTGGTGGTTTATGGGGAGCGTTGGTAGTTTTGGGGTGGTTCAGTTGAGAGGGGTTAGGTTTTGGTGTGGTTCGAGTTAAGAGGAGGTGGTTTCGGTGTGGTTTGAGATTTCAGGGTTGTTTGGGTGAAGAGGGGGTGGTTTTGGGGTTGTTCGAGGTGCGTGTGGGTGATTTTTGGGTGGTTCGGGCTGAGAATGGGTGGTTCGGGCTGAGAGAGAGGGTGGTTTTGGGTTGTTGTTGGGCGGTTTTGTGGCGGCTGCTGTTGGGCGACGGTTGTGGGGTGGCTGCTGTTAGTGGTGTCGGCGTGGTGGTATTCAATTTTGGGTGGCTGCTGTTGGGCAACAGTTGCGGGGTGGCCGCTGTTGTTGGTGGTGTCGGCGTGGTGATATTCAATTTATTAATTACCTTCACCTTCTCTCTCCTACCCTTTAATTATCTATCCTTTAATTCATAATCAACTATTATGAATTTTGTCTTAAAATCCGTGTCAAGGTGAAAGTTGCAACTAAGTTGAAACAGAGGTAGTAACATATATAGTATTTATAATATGCAATATTACCTCTTCCCTAAATAAAAAAAAAGGAAAAAATTTAACAACAACAAACCAACCTTTGCCCCATTCTCCCAAAATAGACCAACCTTTAAATCTTCCCAAAATAAACATAAGTTTGCATTTTTTTCTCCCAAAATGAACCCAACATGTCCCCTTACCTGTTATAACAAGTAAAAATCCACTTGTCATTAAATCATTGGTCAAGGTTTTTTTCTAAATTTTTTTAATTTTGATAATTTTTACAAAAAAAGACATTAAAAAAAAAAACTAAAACCACCCTTTCCTACCACTGCCAGCCCCCTTCCCCACCAGCCACCCCCTCCCCTACCAGCGGTCACCGCCCAACCAATTCCCCCGGCGCCGGCGACCTTCAACGCCGCCAGAATTATCACCACCTACACCTTAACCATCACCACCATCACTTCCACCACCTATGTACATCACCAGCAACGAACACCCACCACTTAAACCAACACACTGCACCAACCACCAAAACCAGCGAATGAAATCACCATACCAACTAACGAAACCACCATACCAACCCACCGAAAACACTGAAACCACCATACCAACCCACCAAAAACACCGAAACCACCATACCAATCCACCAAAAACACCGAAACCACCATACCAACCACCAAAACCACCATACCACCAAGATCCAAAAAACTCACTTCTTTCCTACCCAAAACCTGCCATAACCATCCTCTCACCACCACCAAGATCCGAAACCCACCCCACAGAAACCCTTAATTTCTCAATCTTCTAATTCTTCTTTCTTTCTACATCAATTTCTCACTTTTTTTCGATTTAGGGATTGTCTGTTTGGGGGTTTCATAGGGAGCGGGGTGTGGTCGGAAAATGTAGTGAAAAGGAAGGGGATGGTAAAAAATGGGAGGTGAAGGGGGAGGGGAAGTGGTGGCTGGAAAGGGAGGAGAGGTGGAGGAGGGGGTGGCTGGCAGTGGGGTGAGGGGAGAGTGGTCAGTTTTTTTTAATTGTATTTATTTTATTTATTTTGTTAATTTGAAAAAGATAATTAAAGGTTTTTAATTAAAAAAAGATAATTAAAGAAAAATTAAAAAAATGACCGGTTGTACAGGTTACTGGTCATTTGGGTTCATTGTGTGAGAAAAACAAAATACAAACTTATGTTTATTTTTGGAAGATTTAAAGGTTGGTCCATTTTAAAAGGATGGAACAAATGTTGATCTGTTATTGTTAAATTTTCAAAAAAAAAAAAAAAAAAAATTATTACCTCTATCTTATATTGATTTTATTTTTGACAAATACTTACCATCATACCCACTTATCCACAATTTCTCACCTTCTCATAATTTTTTTTTCCCCTTATTGTCATCTACTTTTTTACTCATTCTCTAAACTTTTACTATATATATATATATATATATATATATATATATATATATATATATATATATATATATATATATATTTTGCAAACACTGATAATCATATAAACTCTATCTCTCTACTAATGTACTATTTTAATTTGTCTGCAATTGGTAAGACCTTTATTAAACATAGTTATTAAAAATTGGAAGCTAAGCTAGCTCTAGTTGAGCAACATCTACATTATTTCATACAAAATATACTGAGTAATGACCCATATGATATAAACCATTATCATTTAGTTTTCATACATATTTAGATAAACTCTTGTTATAAGTTAGTTGGGACACCAAATATTAGCACTACTCAAAGAAATAATGAGGCAAATGGATTGTTGAGTGGAAAAGCACTAGTGAATATTAAATAATAGAGTGTGCTCTTCGCAAGAATACCACCACTTGAAGTTGTAACATATTTGCATAGACGCAAGCAATACACGAGACGACATTTGGTGATGGATACTATTACGTGCACTCAATTAGGACTTAGGAGTGTATCATGCACTATATTTTCTTTCATCCAATAATTGATTTATGAGAATTCAATAGCTAGCCCTCATGCATGATATGAGATTTTAATCTAATGTTTTCTTTTCAAAAAATTAAGTGCTAGACATGTATATAAAGAGACATAAAAGACAGTTTAGTAGCAAAAAAATAGACCCACATTTAGATATCACCTACTTTTTAATAGATAATATATGCTAGAACGTACTGCACTTGTTTTACTACAAACATTTGAGTAGACCTGACAAACGTGTCGTGTCGAGTCGTGTCGTGTTTGTTTTCATGTCGAAAATTAAACAGGTTGGGAAAGGTTAACAACTCAACACTAACCCGACCCATTTAATAAACGTGTTGTGTCGTGTTGATCAAATTAATTAATCGTGTCGAAAACCTTTAACACTAACCCGCTTTTTTTCTTGTCCGGTTTGTGTCGTGTTGTCGTGTTGAATTGAACAATAATGGTCTTATTCAATATATTTATCAACAATTCCATACATTATTGGGTTTTTATATTAGGCAGGTTGAGTCGTGTTAATTTCGTGTTGAGAATCTCAACACTAACCCAACCTGTTTAATTAAACATGTCGTGTCGTGTTTAACTAAACGTCTCAACCACTCTCAAAGCGTCTCTAGTAAGATTTGATCCCACAACCGAAACTTTTCCACTACACCAAGCTTTACTTGGTGTTTTACTACTATACATGCATGTAGTATCATTTGTTAGATTTATAGTATATATTATACTTGTATTTTATAGTTACTCTTTTATTCAAAAATCTTCTATCTTTTTTGTTTTTTCACTTGCAATACAGTACACCTTTTGACATGATAGATTGAGCTATAAATTTAAAATCGTATAAACATAACAATTTTTTCTTATTAGTGCTTAAATTATCTCAATTAACTTTTCTGTTTTCTTTTGCTATTAAGCCTATTATCTACCTTAAAGCTTGTCAAAGTGTGATGTTTTAAGTAGATAAAAAGGAGGAAAGTACGTTATTTCAACCAAACATTCACTATATTTTAAAATGTGTAAATTTTGTACCAACTTATTATTTTGATAATTTGTAATATGCTTTTATTCTTGTTTGTCCAATACACAAAAACTAACGATGAACTTTTTTTAAGTACATTGCATGTATACACTAAATTAATTATCACATAACGAAGATTAAATTTTAGAAATAGAGAAATAAATTAAAAAGAGTCTCTAAATATTATACCTCGAATGACAGGGTATACTAATAAGCATAAACCTTTTAATGAAAATTAGAATTGCTTTGAGGACTAAATTTGGAAAAGAAATTAGAATCTTAGTCGAATTCTTGATACTTCAATTATATTATTAGCATCATCCAATGAATATCATCAACTATTCAAAGTTTTACTCTAAAAAGTACTTTAGTCGACAAAAGCTCAACTGTGACATTGACTTATCACGAGATTGTGCTCTTATCTCTCATACAGTCATACCACTTGATAGCAAGTAAAATTGAACTTTCACTTGGTTAGGTTCAACCCTTGGTTTGGTTCAACTCTAAGGGAATTTACATATCACTCCGGAAACTAAAATGAAATAGGTTGAAAATAGCGCCAAAAAACAGAAAATCACAACCGATCACATACTCCCTTTGTAGTTTTTTGGTGACATGTTTTGACTTTTTGCTCTATTTACCTAATCTACTTTGACTAATGTTAGTGATTTATACATAAGAAAAAATAAAGTATTGTGGTTATTTGTTGAAATCGCCTCAATTATTAACTTTCAATTGTTACTACTTCAAAAATCGCCAAAGAGACCTGTTATAATAGGCCTAAGAGTATAGAACAGGTTTCTAGCTCAAAGAGACTTGCTCTATAGAACAGGTTTCTTTACATTTTATAAGAGCCTCATAAGTGAGATAATAGGTCTCTTTGGCCATAATAGTTTTCAAATTTATGAAGTCAACGAGACCTGTAATCTTTCCCAACAAGTCTCTTAAGTGCATTTAAGACAGTTAAGAGATATAACAGGTCTCTTATCTCTTTATTTTTTTTTTAAAAATACCAAAATTCGATACCCTACAGTATTTGTTTCTGTAGGGTACCTATACAATATTTTTTTTCCTATACCTGTATTTGCAATGCTATATACTCTAAATATTTAATCCATAATCATATAATTTTCATGAAATTATATTATATAACCAAAGTTGATAAACACTTTTACAAACATTCATTAATTATAATAATTCAAATGTAACCTTCAAATATACTATACAAAAATATCTAAAAATACTCTAATTTTCCCCCCAAATATATAAACCAAACTCATTAAACTATTAGAAGTAGTTAAATGCTTTTTCGTAGAGCAACAGATGACCCGTGAGGATTTAATCTTACTTGAATAGTAATGGCATGCTATCTCTCTTTAATTGCTATTTGCTATTTGCCGACAGATAAATCCACGAATATGATAATGAATAACTGCTGCTTCTTTCTCCTTTTGCACTCCAAAACATATTTACACCATCTTTGAGCTTCACAATTGCATCTAAAACTATGCTTAATTCAATGTTGTATGACATGTGGCCTAATGTAAGAGTAGCTGAAGCAGCAACACAAAGGAAAACCCAACTATTATACAATGTATGTTCAACATCAAAGCAATCTTTGGTTAGTAAGAACAAGGAGACACTAGAGACTCAGTTCCCTATAAATACTTCAAATTGGGACATCAAATGAGCTTTCATTAGTTTAAAAATCAGCTAGCAAATATGAAACTATTGTTGACTAATTTAGCAATTATCATACTTGTTGAGTCATAGGCAAACAATTTAAAAAATAAATGCATAGTAGAGTGAGAACATGCTCTTTTACGAACTATATTATTTATATTAATCTTAATCATTTTAAATTGATAGAAATGGATATACATAGAGTAGAAACATGCTCTTTCACTAATATATTATATTTCTATCCTCTATGCAAACCTGGAAAAATAAATGCTTAGTAGTGGGAGGTTTGATTCAACATGGACGTTGGATATTCAATTAGACATGAGAACATAAATGCTTGAGACATGTTATACTATTAAGGTTTATTAGGAATTTAATATTACCAAATAAATATGCTCTTATATATTATTATGACTTATTCTAATGTTCTAGATGCCTAAACTTCAATACAAGAGAGTAATGAGAAAGTTCTAATCTTTTTTAAAAACCTCTTTAAATTGATGATTTTCTAGATGAGAAGATTACTAAAAATCTAATTCCACTTATAACTTCGCAAGCTTACCTAACTAGTATACAAAATACGAACTCATCAGATATATATAGACACGGACAAAGGAAGGCATATGACAAAGATAAACATATAAAAAAAAATAGAAATATTGAGACTTAGATACACAACAGTATAACATAAAGATTACTCGTTTACGACAAACACTACTTAACCCACAGGTTAGGATATTAACTAAATGACTTTTGAGTACTACCATCAGACCAAGCCTCTCACAGGCTGAGTGACTTGCAGCATGCAAGGCAGCAGCCATGCCTTGGACATTTAGTCTACATAATTTTATAGGGTATCAAAGATTTAAACAAGACAAAGGTCAACTTATAAAAATCAATGAGATTTGTTTCTTAATCCCAAATGCATGGCACATATGCATTTTTGTTTATAAATTGAGTGTATACAGCCTAAATAAGGAAATACAGGCAGTGAGCATAACAAAAGCATGACAGAAAATTATTACTGATGTGATTATAATAAGCAAAGAAGGCTAGCAAAACTTACAGATATAATGCATTATATATATGTAAGCAAAGAAGGTTTGCAAAACTTACACATTAAATGGACATATTACTCCATGTATTAGTCAAGTTAGATAGTCAGTCGAAAAGATGAAAAGACCTACAATCAAACAGGTGTAGCAGGGGAAGTTAGTTTACCATCACAACCTCTTTAATCTCCCTTCACATAATATGCAAATACAAAGTCCAAATTTCAAACATGATATTGTTATTTGAAGTCATTCATCAAATTCCATTACAAAATGTTCCTTTGACCTAAGAATATGATTATAAGACTAATGTAATAGCAACTGCAGATAGAAAAATGCAAGTCAGATTGCCAATTCTCAAGTGTTTTCAATTTTTAACATCTAATTCATAAAAATACTCACTTTTTCACTCAATTTAGCAATTTTTCATGATTAATATAACAAAAATTAAGACTTCATTCCATTATAATTTCACGCACCCTCCTTCAAATCATATACAAAATAACAAAAATATGATCATTCACAAAGTTTAGTAAATAAATTAAAATGACATACTTGTATATAAATCAAAATTTAATACCAACAAACAATTGAAAAAAAAAAAATTGAAAAATTACTTATACCAAGATCTGGGTGTATGATTGCTATCTTCAGCATAGAATTTTCCGTCTTATCCATAATTGTAAATTAACGAAGCCCAGCAATTGAAAGAGGGGTGCAAATGTGAAGCCGATAAACCCTAGAAAAAAAATTAATATGGGGAAAAAGGGTATTGATGGTACCTTAGGGTGAGGGAAGCTTCGAGTATAGGAGGGGAGTGGAGGAGGGTCGGAAGTCGCCGGAGGTTAGGGTCGCGTTGTATGAGGAAGTTGCCGGAGATTAGGGTCGCGTGGATGTGGAACTCGCCGGAGTTTAATCTTCGAGGATACGCAGGAAAGCAACTTCGGGTGACGAGAGAATCGTACCGGCAATAGAGAGGAGCATCTGGAGGGTAGTGTAAGTGGGCGGCGGTGTGGGCGACGATGGAGGGGGCAGCGAGTCGACGGTGAAAGGTGATTTTTTTTTTACAGAAGTGGGGCGATTTTTCTTTCCTTCAATATTATACATGGTGGCTGGATTCTAGTATATTTTAAATAAAAATTAAAAAATAAATAATATAAAAGAGATCTGTTGACGATAACAACAGGTTTCTTTATTTTTTTCCTGCCATCAACTTTGACATAAGAGACCTGTTACTTGTAATATTAGGTCTTATTGATTAAAGAAACCTGTTGTCTTACATAACAGTCTCTTTATTAGGTCTCTTTGGCTATTTCTATGATAGTGTGTTATAATATTTACATATTAATAATTAAAGATATTATTATTGATTAAAGAATTTCATTAACATACGTGCACAGAAGAAATGTGTTATAAAAAAAATGAAGGGAATAAAAGATATGATAAGTTTGGTGAAGTCCCATGATAATTGTTCAAAGGGGGCTAGTCACTTTTGAGAAATATTTACAAAGAAAAAATGGAGAATAACAGTCTTACTTTATATATATATCTTAACACAGCCTACACAAAAATGATTGATAAAAATAGTCCTATATTTCGGCAATAATAAAGATAGTCCAACTAAATCACAACAAAGGTTTATGTTTGCTAAGTTAATTAATTTTTAATGGCCCCATCAATTAAACAATAGAAAACCCCCTTATATGCAATTGTAGATAAAGGAGAAAAGGACAACTAACGTAGAGTTGGATTATTTTAACAAAGGAGTGTGCTCTTCACACGAATACCACCATTCCGATTATATTATTATTGGAAGATTGAAGCATCCATGATTCCATGATCCAATTAAGTCTTTAATAACTGTTTTCAACCTTGAATTTTGCCACCAAAACAAGACAACTTCCTTTTTCTTTTTAATCACCAATTAAAACTCTTTTTGATGACCAATTATAAGTAATGTTAGCATGAAGATGTGTGAGATTCCAATCTTTAACCAAACATACATTTGCCAATTGCCACTATTTTAGCATTTTTTTACCATCACCAAAACTACGTACGTACTACTACTGTTTTATGTCCAAAAAAATAAAAGGCAATACATGGCTAATGTATTAATAAGAAAATTTTATTACAAACAAGAGTTTCTATTATTGAATTTTTAACAATGTTACTCTCTATATATGAAATTAATTAAACTTAAAGACGCAATTTAATAAATTGTTATGAATAGATTAGTTTTTTTTTTTTTTTTTTTTTTTTTTTGGACAAGAATGCACAGTTAGTTCTAATAAGCAATAATAGGCGTCTTACTAGGGGTGTACAAAAACTGGACCGGACCTGAAACCGGACCTGAACCGACCTGATCCGGACCGGACCTGACCCGGACCTGTTGATTCAGGTCCGGTCCCGGTCCTTAAAAATCAAGGTTCCCGGTTCCGGTCCGGACCCGGTCTAAACCCGGGGTTTTCAGGTCCGGACCTGAAACCCGGAAAAATTGTATTTTTTAAAAAAAAAAAAAAAAAAAAAAAATTCAAAAATCAAAATTACGCTGCAACCCTAACAAACAGCTATCTGACTATCTCCATTCTCCATTTCTCCAAGACTCCATTTCTCCAAGACTCCAATCTCCAATCTCCGCCGACACCTCCTGCCTTCCTCACTCTCTCAGGCGAAGCCCCTTGCCCTCCCCCTCGAAACCCCTAACATTCACTCCTCCCTTGAAAACCCCTAACATTCACGCAATCACGCCGGTAAGTTATTTTTGGGGTTTTTGGTGGTGAGATTCTAGAGCTTATCTTGAGATCTTGCTGGGCAACAAAAAAAGGAGAACTTTTTGAGCAGCAGAATAGCGAAGAACACCGAAGGAGGCTTGGTTGGGTTGTTCTCTGGGCTAGCGAAGCTGCTGCAAAGTAGCAGAGCAGCGGCGGTAAAGCAGTGCAGCAGCGGTGAAGCGAAGCAGCGGACGGAGAAGTCGAGGTGACTTAGCTGTGTTCTGTAATCCTTCATTTTCTACGGGAATTCAGAGGCTCTGCTTTGATTTTTCTGGGCTGGCAGAACAACGGATCTGTGAAGAAAACCACCTAAGTGAAACAGCAGCAGCGGTGAAGCCGTTTAGTTGGAGTGTCGTTCGTGGTTGCTCTTTCATTGATTTGGTATTCTGAATTTAATTGATTATTTACAACTTTTGCATGTAGAATTTCAATTAATGAGTACTTTGCTAAATTATCTAATTATGTTTGGGTATTTTGTATTCGAAATAATGAATTAAGGTTTTTTATTAAAAAAAAAAAAAAACGAAAAAATCACAAAACAGGTCCATTCAGGTCCAAACCTGGACCGGACCTGATTTTTCAGGTCTAGCCCGGAACCGGACCTGTTAATTCAGGTCCGGTCCCCGGTCCTCATAATTACCCAATTCAGGTCCCCGGTCCAAACAGGTCCGGTCCAGGTCCGGTCCGGTTTTGGACCGGTGTACACCCCTACGTCTTACTACCAGCACTCATTAATTCATTAATTAGTAATTATGGCCCTCTTCCGTTGTTTCCTCTCTAAGTACCTCATATTATTTAAGTTTAGCTACTAAAATTTAATTTTGAGATCCCACACTTCCTTTCATTCTATACACACAAAATTTTTTTAGTATCTCCCATCGTATCTAGACTATCTACCACATTCTCAAAATAGACCTAAAACTTTATACTTTGATAAGGATACCAATTATATTTAGACGGAAGTGCATGAACTCCTGATGGGCGTTAGAATGGTCGCACATTCCACACTCATTCAAACAAATTTATAAGCAAACATCTCACAAACCAAGCACAATGATCAGTAAGAGTTCGGTCCACAAGGAACGAGATATAATCGCTAAAGATCTTAATACGCAAGCTAGTTCGAAGACTTATGTTGATTGGGGATTCGTCAAGTAGACAAACATACTATTGTTCTAAATCAAGTGATTAAAAGCATTAGGGAATGAGATCCACTCAACCATGGCAATTAAGCATATTGGGAGTAAAAGAGACAAGAGATAGCAAGGACTATATGTAAGACCAACCTCATGCAATTAGGAAAACAACTCACACTCCTAAACTTAGATCCCTCGTTAGTTTAGCAATAGGAGATACATAATCAAATTGCAATAAGTAATGACATGCTTAATCTACATTTCCAAGTCAAACTAAGCATAACATGCCATCAAGCTCCAAATTCAAGGGTAGCTAATCCCATCATGAAGAACTAACAAGCGATCTCATACAATCAATTTAATCACAAATCAAACATCAATACTTCTCCCAAGTTTACTTAATTAACCATTAGGTTGAGCTTAACCCAACCCCTAGCAAGGGGGACTACTCACAATTCATTGTGAGTAACATGCAAAGTTCCAAAAGTTGGTGTTCTAAGTAATTCTAAAATTGGGGAAAAGTGATTCACTATGGATAAAACTATCATGCAACAACAATTTATCAAGACTAAAATAGATTCAAGTGACTTGCAATGACAAAATAAAATCAGAAAATAAGTAGTGACAAGTGAAAGAAGTTACTATTGAAGTTTCAAATGTTAAATAATTGCTGAATATCTGAGAATGAACCTTGAAGTTTTCTTCTACAATGATTAGATTTTGAGAGTTTCCAAACTAAATCATCCACTAATTAAATGAACTAAGGTGCTAACTAAGAGGAAGTTTTTCTTTCTAAAACTATTCTACTGAGCAAATCTATCCTCTCCCAAAAAAGTTCTAAAAAGGAACTTAAATAGTCCGTATAAAGTCGGCTGAGATCGGGAAAAGGTCCGATCGAACTCGGGGTAGGTTCGGTCGAACTCTGGGTAGGTTCGGTCGAACTCTGGGTAGGTTCGGTCGAACCTCCTTGCTCCTTGTTTGGTTGAACTATTGAGGTTCGACCCCTCCTGCAAAATCGCTGAAAACTGGTTTGAAACTGCCTCCTTTACACCTTGGAAGTTCGGTCAAAATTTTGAAAAGTTTGACCACACCTTGGTTCGACCACACCCCTGCTTGCACTTCCTCTTCTTTCTTCCTCTCCTTCCTTTTTGCTCCTCTTGCCTTTGTCCATGCCTCCAAGCTTGGCCAAGGGGCCTCCCACCGTGCTTAGAACCGCCATGGAACCTACAAAAGATAGCAAAAATCACGATAGCATGAGGATGATAAAATAATGCATAAAGATTATCAAAACAAGCGCAAATAAGCATACTTTTCATCAACACAATAAAGAAGCCATAAGAGGAGAAATGAGGTAGAAAAACCTAAGAAATTAAAATAGGAGGAAAGAGACCTAAACACTACCCCTAAGAGTGACATAAATGTAACTCATCAAACTCCTATGAATTTTTCTAATCTTTCTTGGGTTTTCAAACTAACATTTTCTTGTGAGGAAGTTGTATTTAAGTTTTATTTGTTTTCTAACATTAGAGGCTTAGAGCTAGTAAAGCTCCTTTGATTAGCTTAGTGAACTTAATCCGCCATTTGTAATATTTTATTTTGTTAACAAAGCTCATGTTAAAAAAAAAAATATTCTTATGGTTGTTCCTAAATTTTACTCGACGAAACTTGAAATTGTGTGCTTGTGAGTTGTGAAGCATTATAAGCTAGGCAAATACCCCATCAGGGATTCAATCAATTCGGCCATTATCCATTACAAGCGGAAGAGTCGTGCAATTTGCATTGCTAGGTTGAACACATTGATGATAGTTATACATCCGCTTAATTAGCTATGGCCGCATACAATCATGTGCGTGGTAATCTAATATTATATCATATCATATCACTAATATATAAAATCGGTCTCGCAGTCAGGCCACGAGACAATGACACTTGACATTTCAGTTTTTCGCCAAGTGTCGAGCCACGTAGGCGACAAATAGGTTTTATTGTGATATATATAATGCCAAGTAAACGAATTTTGGATAAATTTTTTAAGATAGAATTGTTGTGTAGAGTTTTATTATCGATATATTTCTAATACTTCATATATACAAAATTAATCATAAATTTTAATAAATATTCAATAACTCTGTTCTATTTTCATCATAAAATTCGTTTTAAAAAGTTCTTTAAAATAAGATCCATTTATAATATATTTATTTTATAAAATTAATAGAGAATTAGTAAAAACCAGTTTTAATTCGTAAAAATAATTTTAGTTTGGTAAAAATACTTCGGTTCAGTAAAATAATTTAAGTTCAATAAAAATAATTTCAATTCAATAATGACATAGGTATCTTATTTTATACTATTTGAATAATCCTTTTTGATAAATAATATCATATCAGATCACTAATAAATAAAGCCGGTCTCGCAGCCAGGCGACGAGACAATGACACTTGACATTCCATTTTTTCGCCAAGTGTCGAGCCACGTAGGTGAAAAATAGGTATTATTGTGACACATATGATGCTAATTAAGAGAATTTTGGATAGATTTTTTAAGATAAAATTGTTGTATAGAGTTTTATTGTCGATATACTTCTAATATTTCATATATACAAAATTAATTTTTTTAATTTTGGACCAATCACGTGTTGACACATCACACGTTGATTCCCCAAACTTCTTATTTCCATAAACGTAAATTTTGGACCAATCATGTGATTAGCAGCACACACGTGTCAACACATGATTGGTCCAAAATTAAAAAAAAAATTAGAAAAAACCAAAAACCTAATAGCCACCACCCCCCTCACTGTGAAACCCAAGGCAAAACCCACCGAAAACGGCCGGCCGCCTCCCCTAACCCCTGAAAACGGCCAGCCGACCCCTCCTAACCCCCGAAACTACTCTAGTCGGCCCATTCCCACCCCCAAACCAACCCCTCCCTTCTGGAAAATTGTTTGAATTGCTTTGGATTGGTGGTTGATGAATAGTTGGAGCAATTGGTGGCTGTTATGTGAGCGTCGCAAGCGGTGCGGGAGGAGCAATTGGGTGACTAGATTTGTGCGGCTGTAGTTGCGGCGTCAGGCAGCGATCAGGGGTTACGGTTGGTGAGCAACGAATAATTGGTGTTTGTTTGCTGTTGAAATTTGGGTTGTTGGTGGCGAAATTGGAGGTTGTTGTCGTTGGTGCGGTGATGAGTGAGGGGTTGCGTCTGGGTTAGTGAGGGGTTACGTCTGGGTGAGTGAGGGGTTGCGTGGGTTGGTGCGGTGATTGAGTGAGGGGTTGCATCTGGTTTGGTGCGGTGAGTGAAGGGTTGCATATGGGTTGCGGTGGTGGAGATAAGGTGGCTGGCTATGTGTTGTTGTTGGTGGAGCTACGGTGTAGGTTAGGGGTTAATGTGGTTAGGATATTGATTTAGGTGGTAGGGTGGATCATGGCCGGTGGTTTTGGGGGTTGGATTTCTGTTTTTTTTTTCTTTTTTTTTTATAATTTTTTTTTAAAATTTTAGGCAAATCATGTGCTGACACGTGGATTTTTTAAAAAAAATAAAATAAAATTTACCCCTTCCCCTGGTTACCGGTCATTGGGAATATTGGACGCAAAGTCATAGCATAGTTGAGATTATTAGATAATAAATCTTAGTTGAGATTATTAGAAGTAAATCGCTAATAGTCGGGATTATTAAATTAAAGTGTATTTTTCCAATAAATTAAGGCGTAAAAAGAACATATAAATCATCCACGTACGTATGACTCAAGTCTCATACATAATTTTGTAATGCCCATTTTTATTTATTTATTTTTTTTTTTTTTAATGTAAAAACTATAGTATTTTTTTACATTTTAGTGTTGAACAAAGTAAAATTACCCTTGTTTCAAAAAAAAAAAAGGTAAAATTACCTCAAATAATCTTAATCTTGGTTTCAACTTCAGCTAAAATCTTATATAGTTATATATAGATATTTATTATTTAATTTTAGTACACATATAATGAATAGCTCAATGTTACCAATTTCGGTTTATCAATAATCCAAAGGTGACAACCATAGCCACCCAACCCCATAACAATACCCTTAAAGCAGCTCTAAACCCCGGAGCACCATCCAAAAACGCTCCTATCCACCCGAACACGGCCAACACGACGCTTATCGGCCCTTCAACCACGCCTAGGGTTACATTATAACCCTCCAAAAGCAATGCAACCGTCAAAGGCACTAGGGCCCCAACCGCGAAAGCAAAAGCTGCCGCGATAGCTGCCCTTATGGGATCCCTTCTAGGCTCATCATCCCTTTGACCAGTCTCATTATTGAGAGTTGAGTCTACGGAGATGAATTCGGCTATAGCCATGCTACAAGCCCCCGCTGTTAGGCCTAGGAACCCGGTGACAATCATGGCATTGACGTCTTGACTAACCGCACCCATACCTAACATGAGGGATGCGGTTGACACTAACCCATCGTTGGCGGCAAAGACAGCGGGTGCTAGCCATTGAGCCACTTTTGAGTGGTCTAAGTCATCTTCTTGATCTTTGTCATGTTCGATTGTACCTTCAATGTCGATGAAGACGATCGGAGGAAGTTGTTTGTGCTCGGCCATTTGATTAGAATAAGTTTGAGAGTTTAATTAGGGTTTATGAGAGAATGATTAGTAAGATAAAAGAAGTGTGGTAAGTATAGGCTCACTGAATTGGGTAGAGCTATTTATAGATATAGGGTGTTTCACGTAAGTGGAATTGAATGGCTCTCTCGCATACTAATTAATAATCACATATATTAGTTTTATGTATCGGAATATAGTGGAACTTTAATTTTATGAAAAATGTAATTGTAAAAAGATGAAAGAAATTGCATGATGCATGCAAGAAGAGAATACAAGACAAAACAGAAAGGCTAGAAAAGGCTACCCCACCTTTCAAGAAATATATTGTTATGTAATAGAAGGTTTGGCGCATAGCTCCTATATGCAAACATTGCATAGAAGATGTCAATGTAGTAATAAAGTTGAAGTTGTAGTGGGATTATAAAGTACCATTTAATACGTAAATAGTACCATTAAATGTTGTAGTGGTATAAATATTATGTTAATAGTATAAATAAGTATGTAAATGGTACATCAAAATATTATATTATTGTGAGATATAATAGTACTACTAAAACATAATGGTACAATATACATGTATAATAATACAAAAAATGTACCACTATAACCATAAAAAGTACCATTCTGAATGTCAAACCTCTGCGCTTTTGCACTTTTGCCCTCCTATATGCAAAAAATGCATATAGGGAGTATGCGACTAGTGGGACTAGAATCATTTACAAAGTATTTAAATCCGTTATGACCATACTCCTTTAACAACAAAGTTTCTATTTTTACGATGAATGGTGTTACATGAAAATTTTCTATCATTTAATTTGTTTAATTCCTATTTTGACAATGCAAATTTTTTTTTTCTTTTGCAAAGATATTTAGGTAATGTTATATTCACTTTAATTTCACTTATTTTATATTATTTTTTATTTTATTAGTCTTGAATTTGTCTTATCTGAACTTATTTACCCTTACATTATTATCTTATTTAAATTATCAACCTTTATTTAATACTTCATATTATCTAATGTGAACTTATCAAACCTTATTAATTTGAATAATTAAGTTCACTATATTTAACATAACGTCGGCTAGCTGATACATGTAAAATTCAGGTTCACAACAATTTTATTGTAAAACAGGTCCATAAAAGTTTTAATAGAGGTCACTATATATATATATTAAAATTAATTAGATCCACAATAATATTATTTAAAACAGGTTAACATAAGGTTTTTCCTTTTTTAAAATAAAATTATGTTATATTTTGTAAACTTAACTATAATATGCTCAATCTTAGTTTTTAAAATCACATATGATATTTCCCTAAAAAAAAAAAATCTGTATAATATATTTTTTTTGAATAGTAAAAATAATTTATTAATAAAAAGTCATACGACATCTACAAAGACGACATCTACAAAGAAGATTCGACTTTAACAAATAAAATATTGAATCAAATAAAATTTTCCTTCATAAAAATTACGATTATTGAGTAGATCTTATACTGTGAAATATCCCCCGCTTACATCACGCACGAATATTGCGCAACTTGACGTTCAAATGAATTATATTTACTTATATAAAGTGATTGTCAATGCATATTTTAAGAGTGTATTACGGAATGCTGACGGGAAAAGCACGTAAATTAGGTTAATAACGCTAAAACATGCATGTAAAAAATTATGGAGTGTGCCATACACACTAAGGCCGCAAGCACTCACTCTATAATATGCATCCACTTGAATTTGCAATCAATTTTCTAATAGCTCCACAAAGCTCCACTAATAGTCTAATATCCATCATATTATAAATAATTACATGCATAATGTAGTATAAGTAACTCATTATAATTGGCCAATATCAATCCAACTGATGAGCTCGATATCGATCCGACTTGAGCCTTCAATTCTCAACCTCTACGTCGTACAAAGAAAAAACATATGCAAATTAAATGTCCATCGTGTTGAGTTGTATGATTAACTTTACTAAGTTTTCTTTATTAAGTGAAAGCTAAAGGTTTGAACGTTCGTCAAGTTGGGAAACATTCGTCATGCAGGGCGTAATATTATTGATGATATGAATTTAACAGCAAAAACTAAGCGTATGAAATACTACCTCTTTTTTTTTTACTCATAGTTAACAACATTCTATTATCATGCTTGTCAATACAAAATTTGACGATTAATAAAATATACATTGTAAAATTATAAAAAGTAAATATTAATAAAATATATATTAGGACAATTCAAACAATATCTCACATTACTATATTTTATCGTAGTTATAGATCACAAAAGTTAGTCAAAACATAATTTGTAAATAGTACAAAAGTTAGTCAATGCTTTATAAAGCTTACATAGTAATACCTTTGATCCGTATCTTGCTAATCAAATTGTCGTTAATGGATGGAACACGGCCAATGCTTTCTCCATATTGTTTCGTTGGATTAGTATGTTCATTATGACTGCTAGTATAATAAAAATAATAATAATTATGACTGCTAGTATAATAATAATAATAAAAAAAATAATAGTCTTGCCCCCCTCGTCATTTTGAAGCCGCCCAACTTTCTTTTGATGTGGCCCTTCGGGCTTCATTGGAGTGCATTGTAATTGTTTCGGGGCCTGGTTTTGGTGATTGGCAATGACAACTTGCCACCTTACCTTTTGCTTATGGAGGACCGGGTGTTTATTGATGTTCGACACTATACTTTCTTTGCGTCGCGTTTGCAGTCTACTGGTCTTCAGGCTACGCTTCTTCGCAATTCTGGTATTGTTGGTTCGGGACCAGCCTTCAATGATGCTCTTAGTCTTTTTAATAGGACTGTGAAGACTGACTTTATGAATACCCTAGTGAGATCGTTGCCCCCAAACTCATGAAGAAATTGGCAGATATATATTTCACGAAAGTTACTGCGTGCATCTGCAAAATCCACTTTCTCCTTATCTCCACGTCAGGTTGTCTTATGGAAGTCGCAGCAGGGGATCATAATTCTGGTTGCGGGTGGTCCCATTATCAGGTTTGGGTCATACTATGAATGCGGAAGCGGGACAAATATAGGGTGCGTTGCAGGGCTATTGACTATGATTTTCTTCCTATCTCCTTTTCTTCATTGGGGGAATTAGAGAAGGATGATATTGCGTTGCTGAAGCTGGTTCAGGAGTTTGTTAGGACTTCTCATATTTTCAACAGGATCAGGTTCGCTATAGCTAGAGGGGTGGGGGCCCAGATTGTATCCCGACTCCCCACTAATTTCTTGTAAATCGATTGACTTTGTAGGTTTTTGTTATTTTTATAATAATATTAATAATAAGAAAGAAAAATTCTTTTCACCTTCACCCTTTCTTTGCGCTTACAATGGCTAACAATTTTTCACTTTTAATCTTCCAAATTTATTACAGAATACCTTTGGTTTTCATTATTTTTCCAACACTTTAAAAACAATGTATTAGTCCTTATCAATGAAATAAGGGTCCAATTTTAAGTAATTATATGGGGCTTTATTTGTTATTGCTCTGCCCCTAAAAGACAGACAATGAAAGGGAAGAGAAGATAAAGTAAAGTAATTTGTAATTATAATTTTCAGTGTTTGATTACAATGGAAAGAAATAAAAAAGAATTAGCATTTCCTTTATTTTCCTTTCCATCTAAATTCATCCAAATTCATAAAAGTTGAAAGTGAACATAAAATAATCTTTTTTCTTCTGGGTACTCTGTTCTTTTTTTTTTTTTTTTTTTTTTACGGAATGTTACATAAATTTTGAAATCAAACATGGGAAATTCTCTTCGCTATATTTCTTCCCCTTCAGATAAATTGTTTTTTGATGTTCTACTATATACTTACACTCATTATTTCATTAGGTAAAATTTTTGAGAAATAAAATAATAATAATAATAATAATAATGAAATCTCTGAGATTAATCTGCAATATTTATCCTATTATCTTGCTTATCAAAAACAAAATATTTATCTAGAATAAGTATAAAACAGCATTCTGTTATTGAAGAAAGCAGTTCGAAAATAACAGTAATATTATTCTCATTAAGCAGATTATATTTTCAACCTACACACAAGTAAATAATTTATCAAACATATACTATAATACATAATAAACTTATGCTAAGTGTTTCGGCAGCTGTAACAACTTTGTTAAATATAACCATCTTATTTATTTTAGATAAAACAAGAATACCAAATATGCATAAAGATAATATCATGTTAATTCTGTATGCCCATTAATCATATACTAAACCACTCATAACACGTTTGACTTTCATCATCCAAAATACTTTAATTAAATCAAGTTATGGAGTCTTCAACTATGTAAGCTTTATAAAGCATTGAGAGAACCATTTACATGAGAGTATAACTAATTAACTATGTATTAATGCACATATCACTCTACACTAAGTAGCAAGTGATTTATAGATTTACCAAAGGAGTTGGACTGTATGAGATGATTATTCAAAAGTAGCAGAAATTAGGATCTTGTGCTGATGTAGCAAGGCTGATCGTAGCAGTGAGAGTTAGGATCTTATGGTGATTGAGCGAGGCTGATCGTAGCAGAGTGAGGATCTAATGGTGATGGAGCGAGGCTGATCGTAGCAGAGTTAGGATCTTAACATCTTATGCTGATGGAGCGAGGCTGATAGATCATGCCAGAGGTAAGGATCTTGTGATGATGGAGCGATGCTGATTTCAGCCAACATTTTACTGAACCTAATGGAAAGTATAGCTCCTCACACATCCAGACGCAAAACTCCTCCAAATTAATCAAGCTTTTGTGGTGACTCCGTGAGGCTTTGGTGTATGTCCACACGCTAGTGAAACATCACTCAACGAGCCATTATATGTCGAGAAAGATCAATTAATAAGTCTGATTTACATAAATTTGTAAATCAAGGGGTATATATGTCTTCAATTTGTACATTAAGAGAAATGGCAAGAGTAAAACACAATTCTTAGATGCTACCATAGATCCTAATTTCCAAACAATAGTTTTGCGAATATCAATTTTATGCACAAGGGCACAACAACTCAAAATCATGGACCTTTGCTAGTTCACAAATTGTCTCTCCATCCATAACAACCATAATTAGTCAGCACATTATTTCAACCCCTCGTAATTAAGAAATCATAGCATGATTTTCACAATAGATGTGGCCTATTGCAAATTGTGCCAATCATAAATCAAAACCGAATTATTTTGGAAATGCGATAATTTTTCGGTCCTAACATCAGAAATTAGTGTACATGTAACTTTAATTTCGGGTGACATTAGATTACAAAATTATGTAGTTCCCTTAACGTACAAAGCAACATATAAACTGGTTGCATTGGTTTTAAGGAGAACATTCGATCTAGCTTCATCCAATGCAAGCTATCCTACGATATCAATCAAAATCGTGCAATAGATATGTGTGAAGCCATGGTATTATTAGATGCACCCGAAAGCATGTACTTACAAGTCTCGAGTAATCACAATAATTCAAATATGTATACAAATCACATTTTTTATAAAAAAAAAAAAACAAAAGACCCACATAAAATCATTACAATACAAACATGTACTCCGTATTTTATATTCGATCGCATATCTTATTGACGGCTTACTCGATATACAATTGACGGCTTGAAACAGAGGATTTAACAGAAAATTCTAAAGATTTAAACTTTTTTTTGGTGTTTTCATTAACCCATAATTCATAATTACAATCATTTCAGAGCAATCACATAGCTAAAATTCAAAATTTTCATAATTATAGACTATAAACTAAATTAGGAAAAGATATATTGCATACCTCTAACTGATTGATCATGGAAGTCATCTCCATCAAATAAATCGCTCAAACTTTACAGCTTAATTCTGCAATCTAGGGTTTAAGGTTTTATGGGGTTGTTTCTATTTTAAACAAGAACTAGAAGTTTCTCGTCATTTTTTTTTTGACGTGCTCTTCTCACGTTTTTTCTGTGGTCATAATTGGCTTCGTATTTAAGCGAACCTATTGTGTATTGTCCTCTGGTTTATACTGAAGAGCCCAGTTTAAAAAAAAAAGGTCCCATTTGCTTTTCTTTTCATCGCACTCCGTACAAATTTTTCATATGTAGTAATTTAAATCCACGTTACTTGATTATGCAACCTTTTTTTTTAAAAAAAAAAAAAAAAGAATGCAACTCAATTTTTTAAGAAAGAAAAATCATTTTTGATTAATTGTCGAAAAAACTATGAATTTTTAGAAAAGAAAAATCACTTTTAATAAGTTTGACAAACAAAAAAAAAATACAAAATCGATCAATAAAAATTAAGTATAGTGGTAGTCATATCAAAATGACTATTGATCTGTAGAATTTTCATAAGATTGATGGATTCACTTTGCGGAGGTTGACTGAATTTAAAAAAGTCAAAATACATACAGAATATTAATCCGTCTTATTAGAAAATCCTACCATTGTCTCATCTAATAATAAATTTATATATTATGGTTGATTTATTACCGAAGTTAATAGTGTTTTTTGTTCGTATATTTTTTTTACCACTAATTATAGTTTGGTAGATTTGTGCTTAACATTATTTTCTCTAAACTTATAATTCCTCCATTTCTTTTTATCTGACACGTTTTTTTTGTTACGTTTATTTGCCAATGCACAAATTCAACCATTAACTATAAGCAAAAATTATAAAAGTTAATATTTTAAAAATATATATTATGACAAATCTAATAAGATCCAATCACATGAATATATGTTTCATTATGACGTATAAATCACAAAACACGGTCAAAGAAAAGTGCGTAAATAAAGCTAAAGTCAAAACGTGTCAACTAAAAAATAGAGATAGTATAAAGGAACAATATACATGCATTAAATTTTATAACCTATTTGACCCAACCAACTTAGTTAAACCAAAAGTAATAACCATAGCAAGCCAACCACCCAACAAAACCCTCAAAGAAGCCTTGAAACCCGAAGCTCTCCCCAAAACTGCCCCTAACCACCCAAACACCACCAAAGCTAATGTAACCGCCGCCGCCACCACCCCAAGCCTTACCTTATAATCCTTAATAAACGATGCCGCCAGCAGTGGGACCATAGCGCCCACTGCGAAGGCAAAAGCCGAGGCACACGCTGCCTGCAATGGATTAGGCAACTCCTCCTTTTCACCTTCTTCTTGCTCTATTCCTCCGTTTTTCATTTTCTCTCGTTTCATCTGAGCCACCTCGATATCGAGCTGGGAGTACACGGACACGAACTCTCCGATGGCCATGCTACAAGCCCCACCAACTAGGCCAGCAAACCCGGTAAGTATCATAGCCTTCACATCTTGCTTAACTGCACCTACTCCCATCATGAGCGAGGCTGTTGAGACAAGCCCATCGTTGGCTCCTAGGACCGCGGCTCTAAGCCATTGAGAACGTTTCGAGTAGTCAAAATCGTTGTTTTCATTAACAACAACTTGTTCATGTTGGTTCTCTTCATCTAGGGTGAGAGGAAGAGCTTTTTGGTTAGTAGCCATATTTAACGTAATATAAAAAGAGGAGTTCAAATATTTTAACTAATGATAAGATGAGTTTTGTAATTAATTAAAAGAGTATGGTGAACACACGCCAACAAATAAATGGGGATTTATAGGAAGTTGAGAGAGGCAATAATAGTGGGGATGAGCACTACTTATCTTATGGAAAAGCAAAAGATGCATGGATAAGTAGTAGTACATGTTTATGAAAACACTAGCTACTAACTTTATTTATTTGTGGTCAAAATCACTATTTTAATAATTTAAGGAAGGTGGATTTTTTTTTCGGCTTTGATGCATGCTACTTCATGATATGGTTGGTTTAGTAGTTTTCATATGCTTTTGTTACTCTATACTTCGTGTTTTATTTTGACTTTATACACTATTTATATATTTTATTATGACTTCCTTTAAAAAAAAATACTCCACTATGACTAATGCTAGTGATTTATACATACTTAATATATTTCTTATTAATTGATACGTTTTGACTTTAACATTACTCAGCTCACAAAAGTTACTTTAATATATATAACAAATACCTTTAGTCATGTGGAGTTTTATTAGATTCATTTCAATGTATATTTTCAATATAAAAAATGTATATGTATAGTTTTGCCACTTGATAATTGAATTTGTTGAAATCATGCATTAGCAAATGTGACTAAAGAAACTAAACAAGTAGGGTATGTTGAAATATGTTTTGCAATTATCAAAATTTTCATAAATAGAGATGGGAATGGGATGATTGGATAAGCCTTAGCACACAATCAAGGTCGAGTATGAGAGACACGCTAGAGGGTCAATAGGTTTTTGCCCTTGGCACATACTTGGGTTGTGTTCATTCCCCTTTACCATAAAAAAATGGTTCCGCCGTTAATTATAACCCCAACAATAGTAATTGTAATGTATGCACCTATGTTGCACGGATACCGACACGGACACGGACACGGACACGATACGGACACGGGAAAACGGCAATCCTGAAATAGGGGACACGGGTACGGCATATAACAAGGCATATAATATATCAAAAAAACGAGAATTTGACAACCTATTCAATAAAACACTAAATAATTAGCCTCAAAACACACAATTTTGTTAAAACAAGTAAATAAACAAAGTGTACGAACGTAGTCTCATACATATCAAGAAACCATCAAACCAAATACATGTCTTAATAATAGTTTTACAAATCATAAATAAAATAAACAAAAGTACTAATAGTTTCATTCTTCACCATCACCAAGTACATCATCAAAAATCATATTCTCCATCTCGGGTTCATCAAGTGAGAGCTCGACCATCTCTAGAATACCAACCTCTCCTAGGTTGTCATGCTCATCTCCACCCACATCCCACAACTTAGATCTCCCCTTAGTGTATTCTTCACTTCTCCTAGAAAGTAATCGAAGGTTGTTATGAATGTATACCAAGTCTTGAGCACGTTTAGGAGTAAGCTTATTTCTAGTGCAAGAATGAATAAACTTATAGGTGCTCCAATTCCTTTCACTACAAGAAGAGGAAGAAGGTTGACCTAATAGCTTATAACCAGAGAGATTAGAATTGGCAGCCATTGTATATGAACTAACATAGTAAGGGTTTCTAGCAAGATTAAAAGGCAACCCCCCTGTGTAAAACATTCTAGCAATTTCAGAATCCAAGTGGTCACGAGATTTCACATTAAAAGCATCGGAAATTGTATTTTTTGATTTCCTCTTCTTTACATTATCAAATGAACCTAGTCTCATTGATGTAGCTTCAGTTGATGTGTGAGAAGATATGGGTTCATTTGAAAAAGGTGGAACTTTTGGTAACAAAGATTTTTTATAATCCTCGGATTCACGATGAAGCGATCTTAGTTTAGCAAGGTCATCAATTTTCACTTTATTACAAGTTTGAATCCCTTTCCCTTGTTCACCTAGCAAATGAGCTTTCACTCTAGTGTATGAACCATTTTTAACTTCGCCGCAAAAGTTACATTTCCAATTATAATTTCCTCCACCACCCGATATTTTATCACCCTTAACAACAAACTTCCACAAAGGGTAGAGGTCTTTCATTGACTCAGATGAATTACTACTACCACTGACATTGCATGAAGCAGAGGAACTAGAAGACATTCCTGACAATTTGAGCAACACAACAGCACATTTCAGCAAGACAACACAGCAAAGTGAGCAACACAACAATACAATTTCAGCAACCAGCAAGTCAGCAATACAATTTCAGCAACCAGCAAGTCAGCAACTCAGCAATACAATTTCAGCAACCAGCAAGTCAGCGAGTCAACAATACAATACAATTTCAGCAACCAGGGCACAATACAATTTGACAGCTGAACCCATCTCACAATTAACATCACAATTAACAATTAACATCACATTTAACAATTAACAATTGCGAATTACAGTGATACTGCCTCCACGGCTCCACCTCACAATTAACATCAGCATTCAGCAATTGAATTTCAGAAAACAAAGTACAGAAGACAGAAGTCACATAACCCTTACCTGGTGGTGGACTGGTGGCTGGCGAGTGGCGACGGACGGTACTGGGTGGTGGACTGGTGGCTGAGGACGAACAACGACAGCCTGAAACCTAGGTTGAGCGAGTTAGCGACTGAATTAATTGAATTTAAAAAAAACCAAAGTACAGAAGCCAGTCAAGCCACGACCTGAAACCTAGGTTGAGCGAGTTACCTGGTGGTGGTCTGGTGGACTGGTGGCTGGCGACACTGGGGTGGTGGCTGAGGACGAACAACGAGCGGCGAGTGAAGTCTGTGTCTCTGTGAGAGTAGGTTGTAGGCGACGAAGCGACGGTGAACTGAGTGACGGTCTGGACCAGCAGCAGCAGGTGAAGCAACGGCGGTTATCGGCGCGACGGTGAGTGGCTGACGGTCTGGGACTCAGGGAGCTTGAGTAAGGCAGTAGGTTTGTGAATTGTGAATGGAGGAATTGAGAATGTGAGAGAGTCAGAGAGAATGGAGGAAGTTGGGCTTGTAAAGCCGTAATTGCGTGTCCATCACAAAACGGACCGTGTCTGGGTGAGACACGGCCCGTGTCCGTACAGAAGAAATTCAAAAAAAAAAACGGACACGGATTTTCGCGTGTCCAAGACGTATCCTCCCGTGTCCCACGCGTGTCCGTGTCCGACACGCGTGTCGACTCGGACACGCCACTTGGCAGGCGTGTCCGTGCATCATAGGTATGCACTATAGTCTATAAGAGATTTTGCTTTAACAACCAAAATTTTCTAATCATAAAAAAAATCGGCAGCCATTATATTCATTAATCACTCGGTAACTATCGACCACCAATGGTATTATACATACTCGTATATATAATACATATATATAAATCCATTGCATGTCCGAATTTGAAAGAAATATATATAAATTCAAATAAAATAAAATAATTATAAAACAATTAATTTCTCACGAACAAAGTAATAGCAAAAGTTGATTATAATCAAACAATATGAATGGATTGCTGAGGCAGAAAGCATAAAAAACATTAGGGGATCGGATAATATAATAGTAATTAGGGAGAGCACAATTGAGGTCCCTAATAGTTTTTAATACGAAAGAGTGTGTCCCTATTATACAGTCTCAACACTTATGCTGTGAGAGCACATACACATGACGGAATAGTAAATTACAAGACTATGCTCTCCACACACATATCAACATATGCCACCCACCAGTTCTTAATACATTTCACTATCCAATGTTTGCGTATAAAGTCATTTAACAATCTTAGCTTTAGGTTTCTTTATTATCTACCTATCAACTTTTTGCTACATAATTTAAGTTCGTTGTTCACTGACACGTTTTGACATTGAATGCTATTTAGATCATATAAATTAGTTTGACTTTCTTTTATGATTATTATACTTAAAGATGGAATTGGTCTAGTCATGTATGATTCTGTTAAATAATTCGTCTCAATTCAAGCTAAGTGTAAATTTTTATACAAATTTCTTATACAAGTAGATAATTTAACATACTAATGTTTGATATTGTGCATTGACATATGTGTTTAATTGATGTGTCATTTTTTTATTTTAGTTTTTTTTTTATAGAGTAATCTATCATTATTATTAGTGATAAATTTCGTATTTTATTTAATCTTTAAAGGATGTGAGCTCAAAGAGTGTAACGATTTATTTTTATAATTTTTGTTATCTTAAATGAATTTTCACTAATAATAATGACAACTATCACTAACAAATAGATAAACGACATAAATCATCTAATGTTTGAAAGGTCTGTCAATTTCTCACTTAGTTATTGGCAAATGTTATAAGGGAACTTGTGACATGCAAAGGGGCATGCTATTGCATGGGAAAGAAAGGATCCGACGTGCACCCCTGTTATTAAAGCTCAGCAAATAAAGATTTGTCTACCAAGGTTCTTAAATTCCATTAATCCAAAATTATTAATTTTAACTTCTTAGCCAGGATGGAGTTTATTATGATTATGTATTTATTAATGACATTTCCATCCAAGAGTGATATATATAGGAGATTATTCAAACTCTAATGTTATTTCACCTAGATTAAACAAATTGTTACTCCATGTTCCAATTGCTTGTAAGTATCACAATAAATCTTGAACTTGATCTGTTATTTTGTTTCTTTAGGACACGTTACACCGTACCATTTGTCAAGTAATGGTGATCGATTATGTATAGTAATGAGATAACATGTATTGTTATCGAGTTACAATAACTGTAATGAGATAGCATGTAGTAAAGCTATTGAATTACAATAATTGTAACGAGGTAACAACTATTGATGCATTTTAATGATACTATATATTGAGTATATACAATGATATAGCATATGAAAACGAACTACTAACATGTTAACTAAAACAATTACCATTGAGGAACAACTAAACCAAGTGTAAAAGCCATAGCCACCCAACAAAACAATAAAACCCTCAAACCAGCCCTGAACCAAGATGCACCACCCAAAAACGCCCCTAACCACCCAAACACCGCGAAACCCATACTCATCACCCCTGCCACCGCGCCAAACCTCAAAACATAACCCTTAACAAACAGCCCCGCCATCAAAGGGATCATGCTCCCCGTCGAAAACACAAGGGCCGACGAAACAGCAGCCTGTAAAGGATGCACTATTCCCTTCTCGGCCTCTCTTCTCTGACTACTTATAGACTTAAACTCACCCACCGCCGTGATAATAGCCCCAACGAGGATGCCCGCTAATCCACAAAGTACTATTATACCCTTGACATGATAATGTTTTGTGATCACACCAACACCTATCATAAGTGATGTAGTAGTAAGAAACCCGTCGATTGTCTCTAGGATCATGGTTCGAAGCCATTGATCTTGTTTTTTGTACTCAAATTCGTAGTTGGCTATTCGCTCAATGCGACGTTGGCTCATCTCTTCGTCGGGGTTGGTTTTATGTTGGGTTGTTTCATGCTTCATGGTAGTATTTACTAACTGATTTGGCTCCATTATTTTGTGTAATTAGAACTTAGAAGGGGTTACTAAAATAAGGAAGGGATTAGTTATATGTTATTACACAAATTAAACTATGCTATTTATAAATGTTTAGCTTAGGTGCTTTGGCCACTGAAAAGTAATAAAATATTGATCAAGATTATTTAGTTTAATGTTGATGACGAGAAACCTGTAATCAGGCATTATTTTCTTAAAAAAACCATCAATGACACAAGTATTTTAAATCTCGGTTGAGGAATGGATTATACGATCTTCACAATCCATATGTTCATGTTCATGTTCTTAATCTTGTTCATGTTCATATTCATGTACCCTACGTATTCATGTTCGTGTTACATATTCACGTTCATTTCAAATCCATGCACGTATTCGTGTTCGTGTTTCATTCGCGTCTTGTCTAAAACAAAAAAAACAATCCCATGTGTCATCTTCTATTATGCATTCTTTGCACTTTGCATTTTATATTTTAATACATTCACCTTATTTTTACTTTATAAAAACATTGTTGTTAATTCTAAATTATTAATTAAGAGAATTATGGATCAATAAATTTAAGTAAAAATGCCAGTAAGTACAAGTACATACAAACGTATAATTGTATAGATACATTTTTTTTTTTGAGGAAAATTGTATAGATACATAATAGTAGTATAATACTTGTAATCTTGCATGCAAAAATATAATTATATTATTTGAGCACATAATAGTTAATAGTAGAAGTCATTTGCCACTAGAACTAGAAGTTAACTTATTAGAAAAATAGGGCCACAAAACTTGGTTTAGTGCTTACCACTAAACCGTTGTGGCTTGTTGAGGCCGACAATATCTTGCGAAAGGTGTTATGTAATTTTCAGGTAACGGAACATATTCATTGAGTTCTTGATTTTAGTAGTCGTCTTTATTTAGTGATCTTAAAACCAAAATTAATTACCATTAGTAGCATATAGAATAAGATAGATAATATTCCATTATAGTTTAGTTTAAAAGAAATTAAGGAAAATTGGATTTGATCCAACATGACATCGACAATTTGTTGTAAATGTAATATTTATTGATTTTTTTTTTTTTTTTTTTTATCATTGTGTGCTAAATGATATGCTGGTCACTAGAGAAAGAATATTAGGGAATATTTCAATTATATGATTGTTTAAAAGTTATTAAAATATTGAAAAATATTTTTAAAATTCTAAAATTATGGACAAATACAATTTGAAGGGCTACCTAAATGTTAATAACAAACTACTCTGATTAGTAATGTACAAAATCAATAACCAAAATAAATATTCCTAATGAACAACAAACAAAGATCAATTTAAAGCTAATAATAGGAGGCATTTTTCTAGAGTATTCGGAGCACTATATAAGCAAAGATATTATTTCAACCAATGAAAAATGAGATTCATATTTTATTTTAGAATTAAAAAAATTAGTTGCCACAAACGCAAAACTGACGAATCAGATTTGAGAGTATATATTTATGAGCTAGCAAAACTGACGAATCAAATTTGAGAGTATATTTTTATGAGTCGGCAAAATTGACTTTAGGTTGCACAAGAACAAGTACTGAAACGGTTACGGGTATGAAACGGATACGGAAAAACGTCTATCTCAAAATAAGGAACACAGGTATGGGATGTTAAAATTCATATAATATATTGTTTAAAAAAAAATTTGACCATATTTGTCATTCCGCCATCTCATTATTTCATACTGTATCATATTAACAATGAGCTAATATATGAAGGCACCCATATTATTTAACAACTAGATGAAACCCATGTGATGCAAGGTTTGTTTGAATTTTTTAAATCAATTTTTTTTTCATAGTTATATAATAAAATTTGTTATATATTTAGATAAAATTCCTAATATCAAAAGATAATTTTTTTTTATTAATTTAAACTTAAAAATCTCATTCGTCAATTTTGTTTGCATGGCATTTAAATTATTTAATTCTAAAAGAAATTAATTATCTCTTATTTAATTGGCTACAACTAAAATTTATAATCCTACATGGCGTCCTAAGAAAATTAAATCCTACGTGGCTCTCTAAAAACTGTGGAAAAAACTTTTCTTTAAATATATACACTAGTTTTGTGCCCGAGTGATGCCCAAATAGTTGATAAAATTTTAAGATAACATTTTTACTTGAATGTTAAATACGGTCAAGTAATTCGTTCTAATAATGTAGGATATTTAGGCATACGATATCATATGACTTATATTTATATAATAGTGCACTTTTTGTAGTTTTGTTTGTAAATAGATATCTATGTTATTTTTGACTTGAAATTATTTTTATTGAACTTAAATTATTTTCACTAAACTGAAAGTATTTTTACCGAACTAATATTATTTTTACCTATTAAAACTTATATTTTCTGATTTTCTAATATTTTTTTAAATAAATTAAATAACAATGCATTTTGTATGCAGACAAAGTAACCCCTATAAAACTAACCGAGTAACCCTTGTAATACTAACTGAGTAACATCTAACACTGACTAAGTAACTCCTATCTATAACACTGAATGAGTAACCACTATAACACTACCAAGTAACCCCTATAGCACTAACGAAGTAACTCTTGTATTAGTTGGTGACATGGTTTGGCCAACTACGTATAAAAGTTTGTGATTAAATATATTATAAATGGATCTTATTTCAAAACAGTTTTTGAAAAGAATTTAATGATGGAAATAGAATTGAGTTATAGGATATTTATTAAAAGTTATGATTAATTTTGTATATATGAAGTATTAGAATTCTATAAATAATAAAATTCTATACAACAATTTTATCTTAAAAAATCTATCCAAAAATTGCTTACTTAGCACCATATGTGTCACAATAATACATATTTATCTCCTACGTGGCGCGACACTTGGCGAAAAACTGGAATGCCAAGTGTCGATGTCTTGTGGCCTGGTTGCAAGACCGACTTATTTATTAGTGACTAGTTTGGTGCTTGGGCGATGCGCAGATAGTATATAAGATTTTGGATAAACTTTTGGTGTGAATATTAAATACGGTCATATAATTCCTTTTGATAATTTATATAGTAGTGTACTTTTTTGTAGTTTTTCTTGTAAATAGATATCTATGTTATTATTGACTTGAAATTATTTATATTGAACTTCAATTATTTTTACTGAACTGAAAGTATTTTTAGCAAACTAGAATTATTTTTACTGAACTTAAATTATGTTATTATTAACTTGAAATTATTTTTTATTGAACTTAAATTACTTTTACTGAACTGAAAGTATTTTTTATCAATATTCACTATTATTTTTAAAAATAATTAAATATATTATAAATGGATCTTATTTTAAAGAACTTTTTAAAACGAATTTTATGATGGAAATAGAATCGAGTTATAAAATATTTATTAAAAGTTATGATTAATTTTGTATATATGAAATATTAGAAGTTTATCGACAATAAAACTATATACGACAATTTTATCTTAAAAAATCTATCCAAAATTCGCTTCACTAGCATCATATGTGTTTAGGGTAAAACTAACCCTAGCCACGTGGCCCAATCATAAGCTAACACGTGTCAGCCTCAGAAGGGCCTAATGGGATCCAATCCCTGGCTGACACGTGGCACCTTAACCCTAAAGAGGGGAACTGATTCTCTTGCCCTATAAATAGAGGAAAATCCTCATTTATTAGATATTCATAAATTCTCAAACACAAAAATCGAGCAATATAATTGCAGAATTCTCTCTGAATCAGAGAGAAAAACCTTTTACATTCCGCATTATACTCCTCATACGCGTTCTAACTTGATCGTCGGAGGCGGAACTCCACCCAACCGGAGTTTCGTGGTTTTGCAGGTACAGACAGTCGGTCGCGCATTCTCGGAATTGTAACTCTCCCGTAGGACACATAAAAAACCCCGAAACATTTGGCGTCGTCTGTGGGGAGAGTACTACTGAGATGACATCTGATTCTATACCGCCTGCTGGAGGCAAGCGGCCTATGGCCGAAACTGAGGTCCACACGGACCAAGACAGCGGTGACGATTATGCAATCGACACCTATGTGGCCCAGACGGGTCCTTCAGAACAAGACGCACCCGTTCCAAAGAAACAAGGGAACGGGGCCAAGACAATGCTGGTCCTAGCAGCCCAGCCGGCCAGTCGGCGGGTGCACCCCAGGCAACGGAGGGCTCAGCCCCCGTCACCAGAGACGAACTCATGAAATTCATGACGAGTTTCAAGGGGGAAATAAAGGACATAATAAAAAAGTCCACTAGCTCCAACAGGGGTCAGCCGGCCAAGAAGCCTTCTCCCTCCAGGAAGAAGCAAATCAAAGTTCGGGTGCCTACCCCGCACCCTAAACCGAAAGGGGCGGATGGGCCCCTAGTCGACCTTTCCAAACTTCGTTTCCCTGAATCAGGGCAAAGGAAGGTCATCCGGCAAGTACAGCCGGATGGGTCAAAGAAGACTTACTCTGACGCCCGGATGCTCATCCAGGAGAAAAGAAGTCAGCAAATGTCTGAGTCAGCCTCGACGTCGACCTACCCAGACAGTTTCCGAAGTACTTCAATGAAGTATTCGGAGACAAACCGAGAGATTCAGTCGCGCGGCATGTCCGCGCGCACTGGCCCTTAGATTATCCAGCCGGCTCCGTATGTGCCCCAACAGCCATACTTGCCGTATGGATCTCCATACATGCAGCCGGCCCTCTTTGGGGGTCAGGCGGCACAACAGGTCCAGCCTATGGACTGACAGCTCCGGCTGCTCAACCTAGGGAAACAGCCGTCGGCGTTCTCAAGGGAAATAACCGAGGCGGCACAGCGGCCAAGGTTAAAAACGTGTTGGTTGGTACCTACGATGGTACCACCAATCCGGAAGACCACCTCATGGCTTACACCAACCTCATGTACTTACAGGGGTTGGATGATGTCGCCTGGTGCAGATGCTTCCCGGCAACATTGAAAGGCATAGCCCAACGGTGGTTCGGAAATTTTCCAGCCGGATA